TTTTTTTTTTAGTAATTTAAAGAATCAGATTTTTTTTTTTTAAGCCTAAATCCTACGCTTGAGCAGGCCTGATATAATTTAATAGAGAATTTGCTAAATTAGACTTGAACTTATCAGTTGTAATAATTCTTTTCGCTTTTCCTTTTTTTTTCTTTCAGAGAAATTCAAATGGAAAAAGTGTAATTTTTTTTTTTTCGTTTCTGTTTTTTATTGTTATACATAATTATGTAAATCCTAAAATATTTGGGAAAAAAATTTTTGTTGCAAAAATAAAATTGTTTATAAACTAAATTAGTTGTACAAAAACAATATCTATGGATTACTAGTTTAAAAATAAATTAAAAAAAAAAAAAATGCTTTTGACTTAGGTCATAATTTTTCATTAGCTTTTTGCAGATCACTGAACAGGTGCTAAAATTAGATGACAAATTTTGCATTTGTAAACTCGTATTGGTTAATGAAATCAATCATATGATAATTATGCATAGTTATGATGTCAATAAGCAATATAATTGTGTTGTTATAAGAAAAAATGACCAGCTATTTTTGTTTTAACTGTTGCATAATTTGTTGACATTTTTCTTCCAAAAAAAAAAACAAAAAAGAGTTTTATCATTACTGGCTGACTTTTATCTTGAAAATTTTTTCTTAACAGTATAAAAATCAGTAAAGAAAGGATAATTAAAAAAAAAATTATAATGTATTTATTATGATTTGGTTAGAACGTCATTGCGCTACAATGGAACTGTTCAGAAAAAACTGTTTCATTATGGTTGATATATACCGCCTTAAACAATGCATACATTTCAGTTGTATTCACTGTACTGATATCAGTAAACTATTATTTGTTTAATTATCTAAGATTAGTCCATAAATGAAAACTAATCTTTACATGTATTTGGATTTCAATTATGACGTTCGACTGGCCAATAATTTTATCTCAACGCTACCTTTACTACAATACCAAAGCCTCAGAAAAAATGTATGAGAAATTGTTTCTTTTCACTAACTCTTCAATTCTTTAGTCAATATTTCTTGAAAATTTTTTGTTGTAAACAT